AACTTTGCTTAGGAGACATCTGAAAGTTTCCCTCACCTGTTTTCAGGATATTTCCACAATTATTTGTAACACAGAACAACTGATACTCAGTATTTTCCCATCCTTTTTTCCAGACCTAAAGAGATGAGCAGAGAAGAGTAGGGAAAAGAAAAGCCATTTGATGTTGCTAAAGCGGTTATTTGCATGCAAAGATGTCTTGCTCTACCCCCTGGATTCCAGTCAAGTTTTTTTGGCCTAGAAACTGGTATTTCAGGAGGAACTGCATTGTTAGAAGATGAGCTGCTAAGTAAGACTCCCTGATTTCTGATGAGTTATTTTTAAGGGAACATCTGATGAGAGTACCAACCAGTGAGGTCATAGCTTGGAGCTGAACTCCCTTAATTACAGCCCTCCCATTAAAAGGAGGATATGAAGCAATAAAAGAGGCATTGGTTGCATCCCTGATTTCTTGTTATCAGTCTCAACTTGCCCTTGACTAAACACAGGAGGCAATTCCATGCCAATCCTACCTGGCTTTTAACTCCCATATTGCCATATGCAGCCTTGCTAAATCCATCAAATGCAACTCCTGTGATTTAGTGATTTTATACACCACACCCTTGCAGCCCCTGCACCAGAGAGAAAGAAATACATTACACACATGTGTCCCATGGTTGATTACAAGATCTGACTGAAGCTCTTTTCACAGTGGTGACAATTAATGATGCTCCTTCCCTAGTGCCTGATGGGGCCAGATCACAATCCCTTCTTGTAGGAACTCTTCCCTGTCCTGTTTCCTCTCTTCCCAGAACTGAGAACAGCTTCCCTTGGAAATCTCATTCCTTGTCAAATCTGGCAAAAGCAGCTACAGGGTCACATATCTTTGGGGATTAAATAAACACATCACAACAGCATTTTCCTTTAGGAAATCAAGCTGACTGAGCAAGGTAAAGCTGTGCCCCAAAGTGGATTTTGCTTGAGTGCACCACCCCCTCTACTGTGGCAGTAATTAATGAGGTTGTATCATGACCAAAGAGATTATTTTAACCCCAGATTCCTTCCAGAAAAATTTCCTTCTTCCCTAACACCTCTTTGTGCACAGTGGGAAACTGTGCTCTGTGCAGGTGTCAACAACACTCACCCACAAAAGCATAGAAATTATTTTTTGATGCAGCTCAATTGCCAATAATCACATCACCATTAGGAGTCCTCAGCTATGAGCAAGACCTCTGGGTGTTGGGAGAAGGTCCAACAAAGGGGAAGAGCCTCACAGTGCCACTGAGCACCAGAACAAGCAGGTAGAGCAGCCAGCGAGGGGATGGGGGACACATATCCCCAGGCAGTCAGCACTGCAAAGACAGCAAGTGCTTGTCCCACTCCACCACCACCATGGGCTCTGCAATCAGCCTCGGACTCATACATTGTGTGAATAGCTCTTGATCAGCATCAACAAGTAAATTTTCTACATAATGGCCAAATCTTGCCATCACTATCTCACCCTAGGTGCCTTTTGCCTGCATAATATGTAACAGCAGCAAAAGTTGCTCTTCGATCACTCAAAAATCAGCACAAATTTCATTGCCTACATCAGAACCCACACCGCACAGTTTGGATTGATTATCAAGTGCTCCTGTGATAAAGGGGAGGACATGGGATTTGGCTGGCACAGTCTCTCCCAGCCAGCAACAGGTCTGTGACTGGTAAACAGACCTGATTAAAATCAAATGACTCACAAAACACTTGAACATGACATTTGCTGGAGAAAACAGTTGCAGAGAGATAGGATCAGGTGCCGAGTGCAGGAGCCATGCGGTGCTAGCACTGCTGCAGCCTGCTGGGCTAAGGGCACTTTCTGTAGTAACAGGCAATATATTTTGGGGGGGGGAGGGGAAAAAAAAAGCAAGCAAATTTTCAGACACATTCAGATATTGCAGATCTTACATCTGCCTTACAACAGATACCCTTTCTACCTATAAAGCTGGGCTTGCTGAATTAAAGCTTTTGGGTTTCCTTATCTCTGCTGACCTGCAGGGAAACCTGGCTGCTAATGGCTCCTGCTGCAATGAAAGGGCTTTTGTATTGGCAGTAGGACTCTGTGTACACGTGGCCACCTCACAAACACAGGAAGGGAGGACGCTGGCACAGGAGGGTGGGGATGAAGGCATGGTGTGCAACTGGTGTGCAACGTGCTCCAAAACCTTCACACGCTACTGTTACGGAGAGGCTTCAGCTGCAGGGGGACAGGATGTTGGTGGGGGAGCTACAGCCCCACATCTACAGTATAGCCTGAACCATGTGGCCTTATGAGTGAGACCTGCCAACTAAGCAATTATAAAATAAGAGTGTAAAATTAATTTCAGTGATAGAGGAGCCCATGGGCTAGTGCTGAGATTCTCAGGACTGGGATTCAGTGCTGAGGCCGCTCAGTCTTGAACCACAGCTGCTGCTGTTGGTGAAATTGTGTCCTGGATCTCTGATCTCCTTTTGCACACCTCACAGTGCAAGAGCACCCTGTTCATTACACACTCATCTCTTGTAGATATTTCTTTTTCAAATGCTTCTTTGCCAGGAGTCTGGCCTTTCCTGCTACAGCTCAAAAGTCACAAAGGTCCACTAAGGAAATTCTGCCTGACCTTCAACAGAGAACATGCCTTTGCCAAGTGAGAACATGATGCAGGGAGACCCACATCCACCACAAAACACTCTTTAGGATATAACCATCTTCCCTAGACCTCTAGATGTTTCTCAGCCTCCTAACCTCATCCTTCAGTCCTACAACCTCCTTTATACAGCCATAGCACCAAGGGGAGAACAGTAAGCACCATTGCTTGAAACAACAGGACACTTGCTGATTAACAGAATATTATGGGTTGGAAGGGACCTCAAAAGATTGAATCCAACCCTCCTGCCAGAGCAGGATCCCCAATAATAGGTTACATAGGAATGCATCCAGGTGGGTTTTGAATGTCTCCAGGAGACTCCACAATCTCTCTGGGCAGCCTGTTCCAGTGCTGTCACCCTCACAGTTCAAAAAGTTCTTCTCATGTTTACATGGCACCTCCTATGCTCCAGCTGGCACCTGCTGCCCCTTGTCCTGTCATTAGACAGCGCTGAGAAGAGCCTGGCTCCATCCTCCCAACACTCCCCCTTTACATATTTGTAAACCTTGTTTCCTTGCTACATTAACTGAGGTCAGAGCCTTTTTAATAAGAGGAGACACCTTCAGGAGAACCACATTTCTCTTGGTTACTTTTAATTTCTGTCCCACCACACCCCGTGCAGGTCCAGAGCCCCCAGCCCTGCAGCGCGCACAGCCCTCTCAGCACCCGCCCGGTGCCCGCTGCCCCCAGCCCCACATGCCTCCCAGCCTGTCCTGCAGCCTCCTGCTGCCACAGCACC